TATATATATATATATATATATATATATATATATATATATATATATATATATATATATATATATATACTTATATATATATATATATATAAAAGATGTTGTCTTATCTAAAAGAATTAAGTGAAAAATACTTGTAGATTGAGCTAGTAATATGAACATAATATAAAGTTATATTGAACAATCAATTAAGATATGACAAGGGATCTGACTGACATGCCATTTTGTATTGGAAGATGATGAAGCATCAAATAAATATTTCATTTCGGTATGATATTGACAGAGAAATATCTCTCATTAAGTTTCCTAATATTTGATAATGATGTTAACAAAACCAATACTATAAATAGTCTTTTAGGTATGTTCTTACTAATCATTTTTTAACAAGAATTTCTTACAAGACTTTTCCACTTCGATTAATAAAATTTTAATTTATTATTAGAAGGATATTACTAGATGAACCCTCCATATCATCTTTTATATAAATAAACTGAAAATAAGATATGAGATTTTATTGAGATATGAGATATATTTTTTTTCGTTTTTGTCCTAAAATGGGATATTGGATGTAAAGAAATGGGATTTGTAAGGAAATATAGAGAGTGATAATGTTATGTTCGTTCGTGGTAGGAGAAGAAAACATACGAAACAAATGATTCATCTAAAATATTCCTCTTATATATAATGCATCAATTCAAAATACAAATATCAAAACATCGAACGTGCTTAAAACGTCTCTCTCATTTTATGATCATCCCGAATATTAAAAAAATATTTAAAAGTACATGATAGTTCAAATAATTTTTTGTACATAATATATTGGTTTATGATAAGAAAACGTTCGAAACGCTAACGCTCCAAAAGCTTTTCGTTTACATAATTCATCTACTAAATATTAAAAAAATATTTAAAATATTTGACTCACCCTAGCGCATGATATATATATTTAAGACACTACTTAACCAATTATGATATAGATAACAACCATCAAAGTATTGAGATAGACATTATGCTCAAGGATAAACAAGTTTTTCTTAAAGCATAATGGATTGAAGCAATGATCTGAGACTTGATCGGATCCCGCATTTAATTACTTAATATTTTATATGATCTTTTGTTTTAAATTTACTAATCTTGGTCTTATCGGAGGCACCATTAACACGGTCTTTTGCAATAACGAAGTAAAACGAAATATAAGATATGAGTTTTTCTTTTTTAATCTGGAGACTAAAAGTAAAATATGGTATCGTATTTTTTCTAATCTTCGTATTTTTTTTTATTCTCGAAATAAAACGGGATATAGGATAAGCATTGTGGGCTTTTCACTATGCTCAAATCAAAATACGATACCAGATTTTTTGTCCTCTAATAAAATTCAATCCAAATCAATTACATTTCTTTTTATTTTTCATATATCATATTATTTGAAAAATAAATAAGAACGAATCAATTTCATCATATCGAGTTCACAACCAACCAAACCAACCACACAAACAATCGAATGAAACGATGCAAAAAGTCTTCCTCGAGTAAACGCTCATCTAACCGTTCCTTGAAGCTGACATGGTTTCACCGAAGAATACCCGCAATTCAATTACAGATATATGCATTAAAGAAATCATTGTTAAGATTCGTGCATCAAATGCTGGGGTTGTATTGAGATGTTTCCATGCAAATATTCTTGAAAAGTAGAAAATAATTAGTAGGCATAGTAATACTAATAAAAAATTGAAATCAAAACTAACCACAAATTCTATAAGATCAACCATCAACCCAACTGTAAAGTTTATTATTTGTGGTCAAAATGAAATATATTGTTAAGTGAAATAAGTTGGGTTTAGTATTAATATTCTATAAGAGTTAATAAGAATATAAATGAAGACTGCTAATTAAGATCCTTTTAAATTTAAGTTTAAAAAGTGAAATCAAATAGTAGATGAAAATGATAAAAGATATTTAAGGCATTTAAAACTTTAACACTTCTTTTATGGCTAACATATAAACATTGGTGAAATGAAAGGCAACATAATATATATATATATATATATATATATATATATATATATATATATATATATATATATATGGATTATTAGGTCTAAGTCAACGATATGATCTTAAGTTCCTATTTTGCCCTTCACATGTCCAGCACCAAAATAAACCACGCATCCCTCCCGCTCGAACATTCAACGATGGAAATTAAACATCCCGAGATGCGGGTTTCTATTACAAATCTACAAGTCCACATGTTGTCGGCTATAATGATTTTCTCATTTCGGTAAATAGTCGAGCAACTTACAGGCATTATAACGCCAAGCTTAGCTCTTTTAAAGAGCGTCTGTTCATCTTCGACCACCACCACTGCCAAAGAGTTGCATGCAATGCACATTCTCACTGCATTCTCCAACCACTTTTGGAGAAGAGCTGCTTCCACAATCCCGTTCTGCCTCAAATCAAATTGGTCCAGATCTGAAGGTAAAGAATCAGATAATATAAGAAGGTAAAGAAACGCATCAAAGTTCACAAGTAGATTTTTAAGATTTTCAAGAAAAAAATGAAGTTTACCCTAGAAATACATTTCTATCATGGCACAGACATGCATTCCAAGTATGTTTCACCATACTATCAGTCATATAACCACTTTTCCTCATTTTGCTAAATATAGAATTCTAGACCTTTTACTCTCATTTTGCTGACTCCAATACAAGTGGTGCCTCAAACCTATGCTTCAATGCTGATACATTGTTTTCCTTATCTTTTAATTGGTATGAATTATGATTATTTTCATTGAGGACCCTATAGGAACAGTGCCTGATGTATACCATGAAGAGCCATCTATTAGTCCCCAACTCGGCTGCACAACAGCCTAGTAGGCTATAAAGAGAATATATTATTCAAAAGTACCTAAATATGTATATCCAATCAGAACCCAAACTGGACCCACATATTTGTAGGAAAGGCCTCTCTCTCTCTCTCTCTCTCTCTCTCTGAAGTTCATAATTGAAACAGCAACCATGGTGGGCTTACTAAAGCCCTGGCTTTCCTCTACGTATTCATATTCTTTATTTCTCCATTCTCCTTATTGCTTAGTAACAAAATTGAAGTTCCAGGTGTCAAACTGGACAAGCATTCATACCATAATGTCCCTCAATAATCAAACTACCAGACAACCATATCTGCTCTAATACAGAACCCAATAAGGTGATTTCAGCTTCTGCACCATGTCAAGGTAAGTGCCTTCTCTCATAAATATGGAAAGTTGCAATTTCTTAAGCATCCAGCATCCGTGATCCCAAGAGAAAGCTTGTTGCCTATAATTCCAGCATACTGACAGAACTTGCAAGATAGAGCTTCAAAAAGAAGCTCCAGGAGGCTTTAGTTTTGACTAGTTAAGTCCTCAACAATTCCAATAATGAGGGACATTAGAGTTAAATGAAAGCAATATTTTTACCAGATGGATGAGAAATACTAAAGAAGAATGTAAATGATCCCTCAAAGCAGCATACTTTAATTGTACACAGATAAAGCTTACCGGACATACTACTTGACCTTTACTTGAAAAAATTACTGGTGCAGTTTCGCTTGGGAGTAGTTCTGGTTCGACTGCACTGTTGCATCTTGTTCTATAATGTTGATCATGATTTCATGTAATGCCTTTGAAGAGTGTTTCAGGATGAATATTAACTATAGAATTATTCAGACATCCTAGAAATTCTGCGATATACAAACCTAAATTATGTTATGCACACCTATTGTATCCGCCACTCCACGCCGCCAAGAATATATATATATATATATATATATATATATATATATATGTGTGTGTGTGTGTGTGTGTGTGTGTGTGTGTGTGTGTGTGTGTGTACATATATATATACATATATAATCTAAACAATACCTTGTACTTATTTTTGAGGCAACAATCCACTTAATAAATTAACATAATTGACCACATGTTTACCAGATTGGAGTTTTCAAACAAGTCAACAAGTTATAATCCACAAAATATTTTGACAGAAAAAAAAAAAGCCACCACCAAGTTACATTA